GAGCACTTTTGAAAATTCTGTATGTATCTTTTAAAGCAGTGAAATAAATAACACTGAGCACTAATGATAACTGTAAATTCCAAGCAGTAGGCTAGGACAAGTAGTAGGCTAGGACAACTTTCCGCATTTAGGCTCCTTGTCACTAATGACTAGATATTATGCTTATAAGGAGCACATGGGATATTTTTCAGGGGGAGGAAGGCAATACAGCATGTTCACTGCAAATACTACACTCTGAAAAAGTTATAAAAAAATGGAGTGGTTGTGACATGAATATAAATCTATTTAAAGCACCAGATCCCAAGTTCCCTGCGTGGATACAAAATTTGTATGCACATCCGCATCCGTATCTGCAAAAATGAGCCATGGCTCTCCGTATTGATATCTGTGGAGGCAGAAACCTGCAGATATCCATGGATTTGCTCACTGATTTAGCTGAAAGACTGGTAAAATATATTCATCAAGACAATTACGACTGGCTGCATACCTGAAAAATGCCAAAAATTGCTAACACTAAACTAGCTGCAGATCTAAGTAATATATATCTCAAATACTATAAGGCAAATGAAGGCTTTGTTTAAAAATGCCCACTTCTGGCCAAAGCTATTTGGAGAATGATTAGCCAGAGCTGTGCAAATGACCAATTTTTCATTCTGCTGACAGTTCTAAAAAGTCAGTCTCATACTCTCCTTGAGTCAGTAACTATTCAAATATTTTATGCAAAGCAAAACAATTTCACAAGAGAGTCTAAGAAATCTGCACCCCAGAATAGTTAGTAGGTTAGGATGCTTCCCTACATAGGGGAAGACCTGGGTTAGGGTCCAGATGCTTCAGGAAGATTCAAACCTGAGTCTTGTGTAAGTCAGCTGAGTGCCTTAACCTCTATGCTATTAGACTTGGAAGAAGAAACAATTATTCCTGAATGATGCTGAAATCCCCTCGAGAAGCTAGCCTGAAAAATCAAAATGACAAAATTTTGACATTTCTGATTTTTTTCTAGTTTTGTTTTGACCAACACAATTGACTGAAATTGACACAAATACACAAAATGTTTAGGTTGAGCCAAATCTACATTTTTTTCATCCAAAATAATTTTTGGCTGAAAAATGTGACCCAACACTTGTTATCGCTAATGTGAAGAACATGAAGAGCTAACGATTTAAAGTAGAAGAATTATTAATCACACAAACACACTTTTCGTTCCTCTCTTTCCCCTCAAGCCTGTGGCTCTCTCATTCTTTTGACTGGCAAATATCCTACAAAACTTCTGCCATCTTCTCCACAGCAGAGTTTTATGGCTTTCACAATGAGGCTATATCTAGACTTCAGGCTTCTTTTGGAAGAAGCTTTTCCAGAAGAGATCTTCTAGAAAAACTTCTTCGGAAAGAGAGTGTCCACACTCCCAAAGCACATTGAAAAAGCGATCTGCTTTTTCGAAAGATAGCATCCACATTGAATGGACGCTATCTTGCATTTCAGCTGTAATTACTATGGACAAACTGGCCACCAGGGCACCTGTGCTTTTTCCTCTTTCCTCTTCTTCCGAAAGAACTCCCTCTTCCCCGTCCACACATAACTTTTTCTGAAAGAGGTCTTTTGGAGAAAGGCTTCTTCCTCATAAAAGAGGTCTACCAATGTCGGAAAAAACCCCTCTGTTCTTTTGATTTTTTTTGAAAGAATGCGATTGCAGTGTGGATGTAAGTGAAGTTTTTTCGGAAAAACAGCCATTTTTCCGACAAACTCTGCAGTGTAGACTTCCCAGTACTGACAAAGGACGGGTGTTAAAATACTGTTGTAATCCCTGTCATGGCTCCTTCCCCACTCTGGCACGATAAATGCAGAAGTGGGGGCCAGCAAGTGTACCCCAAAGCCTTATCTACCAGGCTTTGGTATAAAACTTCCCCAAAATCTTAAAAACCTAGATTTTGGGAATAAAACTTCCGCTGCCACCACCCGAATATTAATAACGAGATTAGGGGAAAGATCATTTGGGAAATCTCACCCCATTATAAAAATCAGGACACACAAGTAAGCAATGCCAGGTTAATAAAAAGAAAAGAGAAACTTTTTATTATTACAACATTATTCCTGTTGCAAGCATAAGGATCAGATGGAAAGGTAACAAAATATACTCATGGAGGAATTACACCATGGGCTAGAATTTAGTTACAAAGAAAAGCCAAAACATCTCTTAAGAAGTGCCAGATCCCATACCCAACCCTTAAAACAATAAAGCCTAACAAAACTAATTAAACTTTACCCTACTTACAGAAAGTGAAGCATTGTTTCTTGGAGAGAGAGAGACATGCTTGTCCCTCCCTGTAGCTGCAGAGGACTCCCCAGAGAGACAAAAGGAGCAAGGAAAAAAACCCAAATTCATTTATCCCAGTTTGAAAGTCCCACCTACATTCCTACTGGTCACTCCACCTGGCTAGGTGTAGTTAAGCCCTTAATCTCCAGGCTGCTGGCTAACCCTCATAATCATGACAATCCCATCACATCCTGGACTGGCTTGGTTAGCACAACATCTAGATCACCACACATAATGTGACAAACCGCAGCTGATATATAATTAAAATCTCTTGCATGCACAAATCTATTGTAAATATTACCAAGATGAGTTTGCTTCTATTGCTGAAGCAAAATACAGGACTATGTAGCACTTTAAAGACTAACAAGATGGTTTATTAGATGATGAGCTTTCGTGGGCCAGACCCACTTCCTCAGATCCAATAGTGGAAGAAAATAGTCACAACCATATATACCAAAGGATACAATTTTAAAAAGTGAATACATATGAAAAGGACAAATCAAATTACTCAACACAGTAGTAACACAAATACATAAATGATTACAAGTCATTGTCTAAAAGCAAAGTATTTCTCATCAAGCATTAACAGTGAGTTCATCTATCAAATTATTATTATTGGGACCATAATTTGGGTCCCAGTCCAGGGTGGTGACAGGGCCTGGTAGTATATGTTCTAATACATACATGGCCAAAACTGGATTAATGAAGGGAAATGAATAGGAACAGAACATCGGATAATTTTTAAAAATAAAAATGCAAAGTGTTGATTTATTGGATGTTAGCCCCCCAATCATATAGGTTACATCTACACAACAGTACTATTTCTGGATAATGTCCGTTATCCTGAAAAAGTGTTCTGCGTGTCTTAACAGCAAGCCAGTTATTTCGAAATACATTTGAAATAAATGACTTGTTACTCCAATGTCCCATTAACCTCAATGCACAAGGATTAAGGGATTCATCGGAATAGCGCTCTATTTCGAAATTAGCGCTGCCAAATCTTGCAATAGGCTCTGTCAAAATAAGCTACGCAATTTGCATAGTTCAAATTGAATGTCTTATTTCGAGCTACCTGCTACTTTGTAGATGTACCCATAGAGAATAAACCCTGCCATTAAGACAGCTGTCTTCTGATTATAAGAGAATTAGGACTGCAGGGTGGGAAAGTCATCTTTGTGAATTTCTGTAGTGTTCACTTTGAGTAACAACTTGCACCTATGAGGAGGAATCAGGAGGAAACTTGGAGGAGAGATGTCACCTTACATTGACAAGAGACCATTTATGGGATTCAGAGAGTGGTTGTTGGAAGAACTGGATCTACTATATTTTTGGGAAGATAAAGCCATTATTAAAAAGCACCATGTGAAAATTCCTTTTGGTAAAAGCAGAAAAATGTGTCATATCACATTATTAAAAAAAGGGAAAAAAGAAACCAGATACTATGTTTCATCTTTTATCACTTATGATCAGATTTAGATATCAGGTTAACTAAGAAATATTTGGAAAAGCCAGAAAACATTTCTCCCTTCTTTCACTTTCTCCCTTCTTTAAACTCAAACGAAGAAATATCTTATCCCCCCCTTGTGTTTTCTTGGCATCAATTTACAATAGGCAATGAATCATTTCTAATTCCTGTGGTTTTTGCTGAAACAACAATCGTTACAAACTCTGAGGTCCTATTCACATTGACTAGCCAAACCATGTTTCAGAGTTGTGCTCTCACTGTACCCTATTTTTTTATTCATTTAAGGTTTTTATCCAGTTGAAACTCAGCCTGGCCTTATCCACACTGGCCAAGCAACCTATTCACTGAGCTACTCTTTCCAAATTGAATTAGAAGCACAGCATGGATTGCATCCTAACCATACACTGGTACGTGGAATTCCCTGGAAACTCAGCTATCTCCCTGCTAACAGCTTTGAAACCAAGCTGTCACTTTGCAGTGGAATACAAAACCAATCTAGGAGAACACCCACATGGTGATCAGGGCCACTCCCTCCTGTGATATTTGATGGCTACTTTTGCCTCTTCTGATTGTACTTTGAGGACTCATTTCAGTCCCTCTTTTTACATGCAACAGCTCTGCATGGGTTATTGAAGCTCCACAGCCTACCTATAGTGAATTTCAGGAGTCTAGTGAGGGTCTAGGGAAAAAGATCTGTTTGGTGGTGGAAAGAGATGGTGATAGGAAATTTCTAGATGTTCATTTACACAAACTCCCTCTACACCAGGTCAAATCATAAAAGGATCAACTGAATCAGCGTAAATGGTGAATATAAGAGGTAAGTGTGTTTGGTGCTGTTGGATAAAGCAGGACCAAGATTTAGGGATTTCACTATTGATTGTAATGGCAGCAGAGTTAATCTAGTGCCAAGTGTTTTTGTAAATCCCACCCATATACTGATGAACTGATTTCAGTAAACAGAATTGCCAAAGGGCTTTTTAAATTGTATACAGGCTCTGTGTAAGACAAAACTTTTTTTAAATTTCATGTTATTATTATTCCTTTGATCTTTAAAAAACATTGCTCTTAGTGATGGAGAGTAATGTAGACAGATCCAAGACATATCACTATAATATAAACCTGAAAAACTAAAGATTACTTTATTACATTAAGCAGACATTAACAGATAGCAAATGAAAAAAAAGGGTGAGATTTTATTTTTAATGGTCTTAAAATTATACTCACTGCTTGTAGAGGACATGCGGCTGTACTCAGACCTGCAAGACAAAAATCTTAGTTCAGCAGAACTGTACTATATTTCAATCTTTAAAAGATCATATACAAATTTGGCAAAGGAAACTATAGACTTAATTTAATTTGCTTTAATCAGTCAAACTGCCTAAAAACTACATACAGTTATTTTTTTATGGTAACATAACTCAATATGGAAAAGGTTTTTGAATGTGTCCTCAGAATAGCTGACATTTTGCAGGAATGTTTAAAATATCTATAGAGACTATGCAACTAGGGAAGCATTTTTTTTGAGGCTGCAGCTTGTTTTCCACTACTGCTGGATTATGATCTTCTCTATCCTACATCTTTAATAGCTCCAAAAATGCTTTGAACCTGTAATTTCTAATGTGCATTATATGGATAGAGGAGAAATTGAATTGTGCTTTACACAAAGTTTGAAGGAAGCCAGAAAATTGATTTTAGAAATACGATTCATTGAAGAATGGGGCTTTTACCTTTTGGAGAAGTCTTTTCTGTCTCTTTTCCCCCTTCTTTATAATGTCATATCTCAACAAAGCCTCAGGCTATAATTTCCACGATACTTGTTTTCATTTTATTGTCCACAACAACTAGTGCTGTTCAGTATTTTGAAGAACTCTAGGTAGTTAATTTTGCAGCTGTTCACTATATAACTCTGAACCTTTGAAAATGTTATTCATTCCTTAAGGGGCTAATAAACATTTATGGTCACCAATTAATCTGAGATTTCATTTTACAAATCAAAATATAAGTCCCTTTTATTGTGACCCAGGGCTGAAAGTTTCTAAAGGGATTTTTCATGGAAATTGCAGGGTGTTCACAATGTGTTGACAGCTCTCAATTTTGTGATATTTGATGTTTTTGTTAAAGCCCCAGGTCCTGGAAGAAAGTGAGTATATGAGGCTTTCAGCTTTATTTATTTTTCAAGAAAAGTAAATTCCCAGCCCTCATGTTTTCTGAGGAAAGCTTAAAAAGTTACTCAAAAGACTCAGAAATGAGAAGACATGTGACATGCACTGATAACTTGCTCATGGAATAAACAAATAACCCCTTTCGCCTCCAAAACAGTACCTTGAGGCCTTTTTCTAATAGAGACAGCTAGTTGGAGTACTTGAGTTCTATAACTCTTGCAAATATTTTAAGCCTTCTAGGTGTTATACAAAATAATCCATCACATAAATGTATACAAATTAAATATAGAAATACAAATTTCCTAAGCCATTTAGCTTAGCTTCCTGGAATGTAGTTTTGTTATCATTAGTTCAGGTTCTGAATTTGTTCTCATCCCCATTCTAATTGTTCTAAGTAATGTGGCTTCTACCAACTCTTCCACGGTCTGTGTTCTGAACATAGAGTAGAGAGGGATGCAAGAAGTGACTAATGGAGCAACAGCAGCTGTTATAGAGCTTGACCTATGCTCATTAAAGTAATTGGCAAACCTATTATTGATTTTAATGGCGACATGTCAAGGCCAGAGTCTCACACAGAACCAGGGACAGCAGGGGTGCAAGTAAATAAAATTTCTTACTGGTACTGGAGGGGAGGGCACATCAACTAAGAGGGGAGACCATGTGGCTTCCCCATGTGATCCCTCATGTGAGTCCAACCTGCCCTCAGTCTGGAACCCACATGCTCTTCCCTTCCACTCCACATCCCACATTATGTGGGGAAAAAGGGGGCTGGAGGCAGGTGAAAGATGCTGGCGGTTCTGCTCCTTTCCACACTGCCCCTCCCAGGCCCTGCCCCTACGCGGCGCAGCCGTGCCGGTGTACAGGGCTGGGGGCAGGGGGCAGATTTGGGAAGGGACAGCAGGGAAAGGAGCAGAACTGTCAGCAGCTCTTCTGGCTGCCATAGAGCTCCCAGCCCTGCCTCCAGGCCCCAGCCCTGTATACAGAGATGCAGCAGCCAGTGAAGGGGCTGGGAATGGCCAGCAGGGAGTCCTTCTGGTAAGCCGTACCGACCAAAAATAACTTGTTGGTTTGGCCTACCAGGCCTACCGGCCCACTTGCACCACTGGGGGACAGAGACTGGACTTTGTAGCAGCCATTGCTCCCACATTTTGTAAATGAAGGATGTTATCCTCAGGGTACATCTAGATTGTGGATACCCTCGGTACATCTAGACGGGGCCAAATGGCACAAAAGCCTCTTCCGGAAAAGCTATTGGAAAAAGCTACACAAATTGCAGAGAGCAATTTGCGTAGCTTTTTCCGAAAAAAGGCTATAGTGTAGACCTAGCCTTAAAGGGGGAAGAGAAATTCAGGCAAGAATAGGTAGGAAAACACCTCTCCCATACAGAATAATTTTCAGAAGGAGGTAGTGGAGTAACAAAGGCTCTGAAGCAAGGGGGGGAGGGCCTGTGTGTGTGTGTGGGGGGCGTCTCTCTCTCTCTCTCTCTCTCTCTCTCAAAGTCTCTTTCCCCAGGCTTCTTTATACTGCTCTCCTGCTGTTACTCCCTTTGCTTGCCCAACACTGGCATGATGACACCTATAGGGCTACGTCTAGACTGGCCCCTAATTCCGGAAAAGTCATGCAAAGCAGGTAAGTCAGAATAGGGAAATCCACGGGGGATTTAAATATCCCCCGCGGGATTTAAATAAACATGTCCGCCACTTTTTTTCCGGCTTGGGGAAAAGTCGGAAAAAAGTGTCTAGACTGGCGCGATCCTCCGGAATAAAGCCCTTTTCCGGAGGATCTCTTATTCCTACTTTCAAGGATTCTTACTTTTATTCCGGAGGATCGCACCAGTCTAGACGCTTTTTTCCGGCTTTTCCCCAAGCCGGAAAAAAGCAGCGGACATGTTTATTTAAATCCCGCGGGGGATATTTAAATCCCCCGTGGATTTCCCTATTCTGACTTACCTGCTTTGCATGACTTTTCCGGAATTAGGGGCCAGTCTAGACGTAGCCCTATTGTACTGAGATTTTTCCCTCTGCATTTTACCTATTCTTTAACTTCACAGGTATGCCTAAAATATTATTTTCTTCCTTAAATAAACAGTTGCTAAACAGGTACATCAGGGAAGAGTATGGCATAGTGATTTAACTAGACTTATGAGTCAGGAGAACTAGGTTCTCTGGCTGATTGAGACTGGCTTGCTGTGGGGTCTCTGAGCAAATCACTCAGGGTATGTCTACACTACCCCGCTAGTTCGAACTAGGAGGGTAATGTAGGCATACCGCACTTGCAAATGAAACCCGGGATTTGAATTTCCCGGGCTTCATTTGCATAAGCGGGGAGCTGCCATTTTTAAAACCCCGCTGGTTCGAACCCCGTGCAGCACGGCTACATGGGGCTCGAACTAGGTAGTTCGGACTCGGCTTCCTATTCCGAACTACCGGTACACCTCTTTTAAAAATGGCGGCTCCCCGCTTATGCAAATGAAGCCCGGGAAATTCAAATCCCGGGTTTCATTTGCAAGTGCGGTATGCCTACATTACCCTCCTAGTTCGAACTAGCGGGGTAGTGTACCCTCCTAGTTCGAACTAGGAGGGTAGTGTAGACATACCCTCAATTCCTATGGATCAAATTATGATTTCAACTACATTGGTATAAATCCAAAGCAACTCCACTGACTTAACTGGATTTCCACCAGCATACCAGAGATCACTGCATTAGTGCAAATCAGAGGTCTCAGATTCCTGGCCTGTGGAACATCCCCAGAGTGATTCAACAATACAGCCAGGAGATTGCGTGTCTGTTACCAGCCCCCAATCCCTGCCCCTTCTTACCATTGCCCTGCCCTCTCCCCCATGGCACCCCTTCTTCAGGATGTGGCTTCAGAGATCACAGGGGGGACAGGGAGTCTGGTGCTACGTGACAGCAGTGGTCATACCCCCCTACGCAGGGCTAGATTACCCAATAGGCAGACTAAGCACGTGCTTAGGGCACCCAACAAAGCAGGGGCACCAAAAAAAAAAAAAAAGGATTTTTTTGGGAAAAAAATTGATATTTGATATTTCAAAAAAAGCATCGAAGTAGTCATCATGGGAAAAATCAGAACTCCGCAGAACGCTCTTTTTCTCAGCTGAAAAGAATAAAAAACCCTCAGAGAACAACAATGTGTCAGGACAGACTTGATTCACTTACCCTATTGTGTATGGAAGCAGACATGCTTCGTCGAGTCAGCTTCGATGAACTTACCCAGAATTTTGCAATCAGAAAATCTAGAAAGAAGCTATTTTAATTTCAGCATACATGTAAGTTGTGTGTCATTTCGAAAAATAAAATTTTATTTTACGGTATAGTATTGTTTTTATTTTGAATTACATATGGGAGGGCACCATGATCTTTTCAGTGCTTAGGGCTTCTAAAGGTCTTAATCCGGTCCTGCCCCTACGCTCCCTGCGAAGCAGAGTGCCCTGGGTGGATGCATTTCTTCCACTGTGCTCTGCTTCTCCCACGGCTCCTGTCACCACTGGGAGTGTAGAGGATGCAACTGCTGACACCATGTAGTAATAACCACCCCAGACAGTGCATGAGGGGAAAAGGCAAGGTGATGGTGGAAAGGGGCTGGGTTTGGGGAGTGGTGACAGACAGTCCCTACCCTGCTCACTGGTAGCCTTGGGGCAGATTACACAATTGCTCCAACTAGGGATGGCCCACAGGTTGAGAGTTTGAGACCCCTGGTATAAGTAATAACATGTTATTTCAATTGAATTAGTTTGGATATCTACCAAACAGACTGAGGTCAGAATATTACCATCTGTGTCTTGGTTTAACTACTACAAAGGGATGCTTATTAACATTTTAATGGTTTTGGAGAGCCTCTGATGGCTGTATTATTCTGGAGCTTCAAACAGCCATCACTCTTTTAAATAGAGTGGAATAGCAATAATCACACCATTATATGCCACATAGCTTCTGGTGTATTTCTCAGGTGGCTGAAAGCACAATACTCACCTGCCTAGGATTTTGTACCTTGTTCTTTACATGGTACTGCACTATACGCCACAAGAATGAACCACTAACTAAATAATACACACACTGTCCTGGATTAGTTATAA